ACATCATTCGTGATGAAGAAAGAAAGGAGAGAAAAATTTAATATAAACAACTCAGCAGTCGGGTGATACATCATCATGCAAATGTAGCACAATTCATAAATTTTCATACTTATACATGAATCTATAAGCCTTCTTACTTATGCACGGTGCTTTTGCTCTCGTGTGATAAAGTATTTTCTTGGAGGAAGGAGACGGGGGATCATTTTTGGATGATGTCTTTTATTAAAGGTTGATCGAGTTGGGGCCAGATTCAAAAGCTAGGGGGCTATAAAGGGAAGGTTTTCTCAGCGGAACTAGAATCTTAAGATTTAATAACTGTTTTTTTGTAATTTTTGTGGATTTAAAAGTTGCTACTCGCTTAATATCGCCCATGTTACCCTATCTTGTGTATAAAGCTAGTCATATTAAAGTTTGAGACAAACCAGCGTGAATGGTTCATTTGCCACAGAACCAAGACTTATGGACAGTTGTTGGTAATTAAGAATGGGATCTGAAAACCCCCAATTTACCAATTGACGTACCTTTCGTACAACCCCAATCTTATATGAATAAATTTTTAGCGTATTTTCCTAAGGAACAATACGCTTTTATCTTCACTTTGGCTGGCTGGCTGGCTGGCTGGCTGGTACCGTGAGATCTCAGCAATGAAAGCATATAGAGCCTTCGGATTTTTTGCATTCAATCCTTGCCATATTGTAGGCAAACCGAATCCGCTTTATGTTTCATAACTTCTTACCAAAACTTAATTAAATTAACTTTTATATGTTTTTTGCAACGACTTAGCCGACTTTTGCATAACATACGAGTTTGATAAAACAATTTCAAATTTCAAAATAGCCGTTAAAATTTTGAACGTTGCTTCATGTAACGTAACTGGATTTTAGTTTTTGAGTTTCTGGATCTTCGTTTTTGGGATTGGATATGACTTTAGAGTTACTGTATCTTTGTTATTGGTGTTGGATATGACATTAGAGTTACTGGATCTTTGTTTTTGGTGTTGGATATGACTAAAGAGCTACTGGATCTTTGTTTTTGGTGTTGGATATGACATTCGAGTAACTGGATCTTTGTTAATGGTGTTGGATATGAGTTTTAAGTTACTGGATCTTAGTTTTTGGGATTGGAAATGAGTTTTGAGTTACTGGATCTTAGTTTTTGGGATTGGATATGACTCTAGAGTTACTGTATCTTTGTTATTGGTGTTGGATATGACATTAGAGTTACTGGATCTTTGTTTTTGGTGTTAGACATGACATTGAAGTTACGGGATCTTTGTTGATGGTGTTGGATATGAGTTTTGAGTTACTGGATCTTAGTTATAGGTGTTGGATATGACATTAGAGTTACTGGATCTTTGTTGATGGTGTTGAATATGAGTTTAGAGTTACTGGATCTTAGTTTTTGGGATTGGAAATGAGTTTTGAGTTACTGGATCTTAGTTTTTGGGATTGGATATGACTCTAGAGTTACTGTATCTTTGTTATTGGTGTTGGATATGACATTAGAGTTACTGGATCTTTGTTTTTGGTGTTAGACATGACATTGAAGTTATGGGATCTTTGTTGATGGTGTTGGATATGAGTTTTGAGTTACTGGATCCTAGTTTTTGGTGTTGGATATGACATTAGAGTTACTAGTTCTTTATTTTTAATGATGGATGTGAATGTAAAGCTACTGGATCTTTGTTTTAGGGGTTGACTATGACTGTAGAGCTACTGAATTTATGTTTTTGATACGGGACATGTTTTAAATGCTACCAGATCTTTAAAATAAAAATCTGGAACGAACTATTAAAGATCTGGTACGAAAAATTAAGGCCCTCAAACGATTTTGAGTTACAACTAAGTTTACTGATCAGTAAGAGGAAAATACGCTGAAGTCGCCCAGATCCAAAGTACTGGCGATCTTTTTACTAGTTTATTACTTCTATGTTCCTTATCCCCAATTCCTTCACAAATCTATGTTCGAATATTAATCATAAATAAAAAAATTTCTCTTTTCCTGCTCTTTTATTTCTCTCGTTATCCATTACTAAAACTTTTCATGTATGTAGTTAACAATACAGCACCAATTTCCGTTCTTTTTGACGATAAATTCTTTCATTTCGATGGAATTCCTTTCCATTCGCATATTTCTTGTGTAATACTTTCCTTTTTTTTTATTTCATACGAATTGCTAACTATGTATAAGTTTCAGTTCCTTTTACTGCACATGAAAATAAAAATATGAAAGCAGAGAGAAATATTGTGGAGGGAGGCAAAAGAAACACGAGAATCAATTAAGGAAAAGGGTCTTGACTCTCAAATAAGCTTTGTAATAAATTCATTTCCAGCAACATATCGATTGCGTGCAAGCAATTTCTAATTTTCCCCCCTTAAACCATATTTTATACATATTCTATACATAGACTTCCACTTCTCGTTACTGCCGCTATCAGGGGCGCACTCTTTTCATATTTTTTTTTGCAATAGATATACGATGATGCGTTTTGTGAATTCACTTTGGGAATTGCTGATGATGACGATGGTGTTTGATGTTATGGGAGCAATGAGGTTTATCAGATATGATATCAATATTTGCAAATATATGAAAAATGCGAGCATGGCAAATGTTCAACTTACAGAATCAGCATAAATATAAAAAAAAAAGTTTCTCAGTCTGATTGATTTTATCTGTGTATTCAATAATATGAATGAGAAATTGCATTGGATCTTGGGGAAAAATGTTTTATTTTCATGTAATCCATTATTCAAATTGAGTTTTCAGTGATTAAAGTGAACTCTGGTGAATTTAAGAAAATTGGGTTTGTAGATTAAGCGAAGAGCGCTTGATTGATGTTTTGGAGGTCTTGGGTTCAAATCCACTTGATGTTTTATCGACTTATTAATGTTAATAAATGATAACCATCCAACTCAACACAAGGCAACCATTTGAGAGTTCTGTGATAATTGCAAGGTTCTCAATAGATGATTTTGTCTACTGTGTGTCGCTCAGGTACTTTTGATGTATTAGATGGAATTTAATTTTATTTTTAACTAAATAAATCCCAACTCTGGAGCTTTACATACAAAACAGGAATGTCATTGCTGGGACAGAAACACAAGTTTGTAACACTACACTTGGTTGTTATCTACAAGGGAAAAGTCGTCCAGGAGCTCCAAAAGCTACTTAGCGCAGATTAGTGATGAAAGAATGTCAGCTTAATATGCGTACAGGGAAATTGTAAAACTAGCTGACAGAACCAGCAACTGAGTCAGATGGAAGGCGTTTTGCTGTAGCCTAAGCTCCACTTAGAAACATGGTTACAGTAAGTAAAGTAAGTATACACAAAACAGGAACACATAAATGATACAAGCTATTGCAAACGTCACGTTAGAATTGTCAGACTTTCCAAGTTGGACATCATTTATTAACGATTAGGTAGACCCGCTAATATTATAACCTAAAAACTCTAGCTTTTAAGTAGTTTCCATTAAAATTTCTTCACAAAAAATCAGCGATTCAAAGAAAAGAGCACGGTGCCCCCTTTTGCAACCTGATATTTTCAAAAAAAATTAATATATTCCAATGAAGCTTCTAATTACGCACGTGACTTGTTCTTCAACTATAATAAATTATCCAAATTTATGTAAACACATCCAAAAATGTCAAAGAAATTGCGTTTTAGACTTCCATTTCCTGTACATGCCTATTCTGACGACTTGAAGAAATTTCACTCACTTGTTTTTCTTCCTCATTGCCCCCCACACACCATCCTTGTCGTTTGTATGATGCGGTTTAAGTTAATATTCAATTTTTTTTCCTCTCTTCCTCACTATTTTTATTTTCTATTTCGAGGGTGCTCAAATGGATATGATGATATTTCTACTTAGTTTCATTTTTATTCTTCTACTTAACAATCTTATTTTTTTTCGGGGGTTAGTCAAGAGTAGGGAGCGTTATTTGATATTGGGATAGGAAAGTAATGAAAGAAGGGGTTTCACATCGCATGATGAAAATAAATATCAACATTGATACATTCTAATGCAAAATGAATTGAATTGTACTTGCATTCTTTCCGTACGTCTCCTTCCTTATAACTGGCATTGCGAAGTTCTCTCACGCAATAAAATCCGCATTGCAAATTTTCATTTATTTTTCTTTTTTTCCTGCCTTTGTTTTTCGTCCGGATTTTTATGTGTGTACGGATGAAACTTGCTTTTCACTTTCATTTAGCATATTTGCGTGTTTTTATGGATTTTGTGTGTCGGGGGATAGGCAGCAAAAATAAAAAAAAAAAGTTTTTCATTTGTCTCAAACTCAAATCCAATTATTACTTCTAATTCCTAGTTCGTTTGACATAAAAACGGCAGTTAAAAGCCCTCCGAAACTGAAAAATCACTTTTCAGCAAGTTTGTATTAAAAAGGTAGGAATGAATTGAGAAAGGGTGACATGTCATGATATAAAAATAAATATCAACTATGACTTCTCTACCAATCATTCAATTCTAACCAAACCTTCACGAAACATATAAACTCAATTTTTCTATCCACTTAAGGGGTTGAAATTAATGCAAGATGAATAAAGTACGAGTGAAAAGAGATCGTAAATTTGATTTCTTTTGCAACGCATTTTTTATGGCAGAAAATCAGTGAGTTCATGATGGAAAGGAAATCTCGAGGAAGAAAAACGTGATCTTAGCAAAAATTCATGAGTCTTGCATACGAAATTAGCATGTATGTCAACGACACACGAAGTGGTTGTCTCAAGATTGTCAATTTTGTGTCTTTTGCAGATTTTACACATCATTCTTAATTTGGGCAATTTTGAAGTGTTGGATGTGAAGCATTTAAGTGATTAGTGGTGCATAAATGCTGAGTTGAGGATAGTTTTTCTAAGGAATATCAATTTGTGCTAATATTGATGAAAAGTGCTGAATTCAGCAAGAATACAGATTATTGAAATGGTTAATGCTGAATAAATCTAAATGGTGCTTTATTCAACAGTACTGAATTCAGCATCATGGCGCTGCATTAAGCTGAATTGAACTGACTGGTACTTCACTGACTAGCGTTGAATTTGGTACGGTATGAAGCACTGAATAAAGGCAAATTCAATTGAAGATTGCATTCACAGGTAAATACGATGTGAATTTAAAAATTAATAGAGCTGAATTAAACTACAAATTGTTGAATATTGCTGAATATTGCTGAATAATAATAAAAATCTGTATTTCGTCATATTGAGCTGACCCCTAGCGAGACTACTAGCAAATTGCTAGTCTTTCTATTCTACTACTTGCAACTTACTGTTAGTAAATTACACTTTCTATTTAATAGCAAATTACTAGCAAATTACGATGTGAAATGTTTGATCAAATCTGCTTAAGTTCGAATCCTACGAAAAATAATCAAAAAAAGAATTTTTTGCGTCATAAAAAAATTTGTTCTAAATTTGGAATTTGCCATATACTTCACAAGAGCGCGCAGAAATCACCTTTATAAGGTCGATCTAAATTTATATTTGACTTTCAATTAATTATTTATCTTCCTCAGGTTTGCGTGCGAGTCATTGGCGTTCATAAGTGTTCGACTTAATTATATTAAGTCTTTTATTTTTTATCATAGTGTTAGTGTACTTTAATTAACTTTACTAAGTACACACTAATACTTTTACAATAATTTACACAAATAAGAAAAATTAAAAAACACGTGGAAATCAACGGTTATATTCATTTAATTTTTTTACAAATTTGCTAGTAAATTTCTAGTAAAATTATAAGCGAATTGACTAGTCAATTAGCAAGTGAAAATGCGGGTCTTTGGCGATGATTTGAACTTGGATTTTGACTAGTAAATAGCAAGTAGCAAATGGAAAGTTATCCAGTAAATTTCTAGGAAATTACTAGTAAATTTCTGCTAGTCGACTGATGCTGAATTCAGCTTAATTAAGATTATTTAAGTTGAACTAAACGTTGTTACATAAGAAAACATAACAATGCATTAAAAATAAAGACTATTGAACCTGAATTGAAATTATCTAGAATAAATATTGCTCCGTAACTCAATCTTGAGCAAAAACAGAACTCCATTCAGCTGAATTAAGCTGAAAATCTCAATAAATGCTGAATAAGATTTAATCCGTAGTTAAATCAATCAAAACAATCCACCTGTAGAATTTCACAAAAAATCATGAAATTTCTAGACAAATTTAAAACAATACCCATCCTCTATACCAATCGTTTCCAGGAAAATTCATTCAAGGAAGGAGTCAATTTACATTCATAGAACGAACTTTGTGTGACAATTTTCTCATGCATTTAATCTACTTTTATTTTATGCGTGTTCGTATTGTATTTTTAAGGGGATGAATACATATACAATAACTTTTTTTTGCAAACGCATTAAGTAAATTGAATTACACTCGATACAAAAAAGGGGGAAGTCAAGGAGAAAGAGAAAGAAAATAAAAGAAGCTTTTTTTCAGCACTGCTATGAATGAATAATAGTTAATCACAATCGCAAGCACAAATTGAAAAGAGAAACGAATAAATAAACGTTGTAGAGAAGACATCCATACAAAAAAAAATAATGGAACCAAAGAAGAGTAGACAAAAAAAATTAAGCTTCTGAATTGTCATTTTTCTCTTTCATTTCTGGCTTTATGCTTTAGATTTATTCTTCTGTGTATGTGCCTGTTGTCAAATTCGATTGAGAACAGCAGAAATTTATGATTATAGTTCTCTTTCAACCACGAAGTGGATTTATTTTTTAGTGAAGGCGGTTTTTGCGGGAATAGATTTTTCTGAGCTTGGGTGAATGCAGAATGAATAATTTTTTTAAGCACATTTTGGTTTAAATAATCTCTTGTTTCTAAAGTAAGACATATACTAATCTAATTATCTTGGTGTCACAGTTGTGGAGATGGCTCGAAGAGCATATTTGTAATAGATAGGCCTAAGCATAAGGCTCGTGGTGAAACTGGTTATATGTGTATGATGGATAGCCGAAGTGAGATAAATACCTCGGTGGTCGAGTGGCAAGGATCTCTGATCGAGTGGTCTACCACGAGATAGCCTGTTTTGAGGTCGTGGGTTCGATTCCCATCAAACTCGACTTGTATTACATTTGTATACATTTATGGCAGTTATAAGTAGGGTGACCATCTAATTTTTATGAAAATACAGGACATTTGATAAATTTCCTAAAAAATACAGGACACAAAGGAAAATTTAAAAATTAACGGAAATTTTCGTGAAAAAAATACAGGACCTGGAACAAAATTTTCAAATTTATACAGGACAGGGTTTTGAAATACAGGACTGTCCGTTGTAAAACTACGCAGATGGTCACCCTAGTTATAAGGAGATCTACAACAGTCTTTATGTGTTTTGATTAATGTTCTCAGGTCTGTATATGTGTCTATATAGTAATTAGGATTTATATGATGCTAGACCTAGCATCAGGTTAATAACACGGAGGCATTTTCAGCAATGATATCGATAATTAGGCACTTTAAAAGCTTTTTACAAATTTTGCAACATTTTGTTAATTTTAATATATTTTTAAACATTTAATATACAAACTTAGTTTCCAACTTTCTCAAAACACACATTTACACCAAATGTTTCAGATTTATTAAAAATATCCCTTTAAACTTCCCACCTAGCACTATAAAAGTAGCATCTTGCTAGAAACCACAGACTTAATAAATCAACTCCCTTTCTAAAAACTAATAAAATATTCCACAATCTCCTTAAGGAAACCTTCTCTGAGAGTCAATAAAACTATTCAATATTCAATACGAGATTGAAAAATATTAAATACTAGAAAAAAAAGCCAATAAATTTTCATTAGCTTAAAACAATATACGCGATAGAAAATAAATTTTCCACTAGCCGAGCAATGCAGCTAAACGGAAAACCAGCAAATATGTTTTCCAACTTTTTCAGTTTCGTCCACAAATATTGTTGCAGGATAATATTTATAAATGATTAAAAAGAGTCATTCAATGGACACATAATCCAGCTCTTCGAGGTCAGAATAAATGTTTTATATTGATTATTTATGGCAATGAAGGCAGCAACAGAGAAATATAAAAAATTGTTTTAATATTTCAACTATTTTTGTGGTTTCATTTTTATCTCGTGTTGGAAAAAGTCAACATATTTTCAGTGCATTTTTACGGATCGACGAAGAGGATGGGGCATTGCTTTGTACATTTTTTTTTTTTGGTTGTTATTCTATCAATTCGTTATTATGTTTATCTATTCTACTGAATATGTCTGTGTCTATTTGCTTACCCATCTGATCATTCATCTGTCTACCCGTCTCATGCATAATTCTATGTACTCATTCGTTTACTAGCTGGACTGTTTGTATGATTATTTGGATGCTATTGTTTTGATGATGATCATATGCTTTTGTGAATCCTGAATGTGCCTTCTGTTTGACCGTTGAATAATTCAATGAGTTGCATCGATGGCTGTCCTAGTTTCTAGAAATACAGGCGTATAGAAGATTAGAAGAGTCTATAATCAAATTGCAGTTTGTAGAAAAAAATAAAAGAATTTTAAAATTAGAACATTTCAACAAATTACAAGCTGAACAAAAGCAAAAAAGCTGTCCTATATTCAACAAAAAGCAGATGACAATGCCAATCGCTGTTTCCTTGCACAATGCCTGCGGTTGACTCGCGAGATTGTTGCCAATTTTCGGTGGTTGAACAGGAAATATTAAGGACAGAGTTGTTATCCTCAATGTGGAACAATAGATTTTAATGACAACTAGGTTCAAAATACTTCTAGAGACTAGTTATAATAGGAGACAATAAAAAGCTAAGTTTCAACTCCTTCAAACTACGATTTACCCCACTATGACTCATTGGAAACAGCCATAAATCCCAATAGCTGTGTATAAAAATGCACCATAAACCCCACGCACGTGTACAATAGAAAATTTCATACTACATATTAATTCTAACGCTAAACATTTATGCATGCCTTTAATGTTTCCATTGCACGATGAGCATTCAACACGCCAATGAGCAATATTCGTTCAGTGAGAACGGAACAAAAAATTCTGTTTTATCTCACTTTGTGTAATGAGCAGCAATTATCCACAAAAATGCATTTGAAGTTTGAAACAGCGACCATGCCACCCTCCTCGCTCTAAATTATTTTTTGGTAAGGAAGAGAATTGGTAGTGAAAATTTTAAAATTATGAACATGAAAGGCATTTTACATCGAGTTGAGAATCCTTTCTAGATTCAATTAGATTTTCCATGCTAATGCACAAATTATGAATGTAAAATATGTTGTTTTGACGTTCAATTCAATGTAATGTAATTTAATCTCGTTTATTGTTCCATAAAAGCAATTAGATCAGGCTGTGGTGAGCAGTAAAAATTTATATTTATTGATGGTGTGGATGGGAAATCGAATTGAGAGGAAAATCGTTAAGTATGGTGGGAGTTAATAGCAATTCTAGAGCGCTTTTTGAAAATGCTATAAATTTTTGAATTTTATATAGTTTTTCATCATTATTTGCAAGATTTGCTTTACTTACCTTGCATACTTGAGTTTCTAAGTATGATGATTAATTGATTACTTTGCTTATTCGCATCCATTTTAGCTTTATCGACTGTTTTTCAATAACTTTACTCTACAAATAATTTATTTTTTAATACAAACCTCTTTGTGCTTTATCGTCTGACTTCAGCTGCATTTTTGAAGACTTTTTTCGATGTCTGGTTAAGGGCTCGTTCACTTATTACGTAACGCAAAAAAACGAGTTTTTAGACCCCCCCCCTCCCCCCCCCCCTGTAACAAAGCGTAACAAAATCTTAGACCCCCCCTCCCCCCCCATAACGTAACAATAATTTTTTTCATTTAAATTAAAGTTAAAAAAATTTAAAATTAATATAGAAACAATTATAAAAAAATATAATTTTTGAAAAGTTACGTAACAAAATTTAGACCCCCCCCCCTCCCCCTGTAACAAACCGTAACGAAATCTTAGACCCCCCTCCCCCCCTAGTGCGTTACGTAATAAGTGAACGAACCCTAAGAAGATCTTTTGCTTTCAACCTGCCATGCAAAGAACGAACGAACAAAAAAAATACTTTAAAAAAAACTTTTTTTTAAAAAAAGCACGCTTTTATTTCCGATTACAGAGCACTAAAAAGGAGAAAAAAATTTTTTTTTGCTAAGCTCTCAAATTTGATACAAAATTTTATGACTCAAAATAAAAGCGTGGGGCGTTAAATTTAAACTAGTTCTAGATTTTCCAAAATTTATTTTAATTCAGTTTAATTATCCATTTCTTAATTCAACTTTTGTATTAAAACGAAAGACCTTTTAAAGTTTTGATCTCAAATTATTTTTTGACACAAAGGAACTAGTTAGATTTAGCAGGAGAGTAAGACTTGATCTCTAGTGCCACACAGAAAACTCTACATTAGTCTCATGGAGATCAAGTCTACCGTCTCAGATTTACCATAATTTGTAAGGGCTCATCATTCTCCTTAGACAAAACTATAAACATTGAAGACCTAACGCTTATGTAAACATACAAATTCAAGATTTAGTGAAATTTATTAAATATCAATTAATAATATTAATTAAACTATAATAAATCATGTAAATGACTTTTGAGCATTTCAAGTATAATATTTTAAACAAATCAAAATTATATGTCATTGACATTGGATTTTTTCCCATATAAAAAAGTTTTACATAAATTGTACTATAATTAAGCATTTTTGTGGTTTCAAAGTGTTAAAATATTGTATTGTCACCGAGAATAAGTGTGCATAAAAAATTTGAGCTCGATTGGAGTAGTAGAAGTGATCAAAATAACGATTACAAAATTTGATGCATGAAACATACAAACAGTGTGAGTTAAATAAAAGCGTGTAATAATAATATATTATTAAGCAGCCATTTAAAAAACAAATTTTTCAAAAATGTGCAATAAAATACTTAAAACTGTACAATTCCTTCGCATCATTTTTAAAACCTCACAAATGTTTTTGCATCTCCCAAAAAATCTATTACATTTCATAACAACTTGTATGAAGATCTAATGAAATTTAACTTGATTAAGGATCAAAACAATTGTTGATAAAGCTCCAATTCCATCTTATTCATACGCAAATTACATTCCATCAATACATTGCAATATCCATCAAAACCCCAGTTAATTCTACATTCTTCAGAATATTATTTTCCACTTTCAAAGCTAAAGCGTGCTAGAAATCTCCCAATCTACAGTAGTTCCAACTCACAAAAGAATTTCAATAATCATCAGCTCAGTAATCCAATAAAAATCGTCCAAACTGAGCACAAAAATGCTTTCGTTTCACAAAAAAAAATTCACTGAAAATACAAAAATTCCGCCTTCTTTGTTGATGTTGAAAAAAAATTTTCCAAAAAATAAATGAATGAATTCCTTTTTTATGCTGAATGAGGTCGAATAAATATTATTATTATTATTATTATTATTATTTGTTTATTCTCTTCTTTAACTCGCAAAGGAAAAGCCATTCTAAACAGTATTAACAGTTACTGTTGAGATCGGCATAAAAACCTTTAAACTTAATACTAGATTTACAATTTATAGAATAAAGTGTGAGATCAGCATTCAAAGAACATTGAAGATCTCAAGTTTGTAAAATATTACGGTGATTGACAATTGACAGTTTTTAACGGTTTTTAGATATTTAAAATTGTAAGTGGTGAAAAAGTTGAGCTGCAAGTTTTGCAATAATAATAAGCCAAGTTAATGTTTACATAACAAAAATTGAAAATTAACGACATTGTAATAGAAAATAGGAGAATTAAGTATTTGCACAGTGCAGTCAACATCAAGAAGTAATAAGCAGTAATTAGTAATGCAGAGCGGAATAGATACCAGGTGAATTGTTTCAATTAGGATAATAACAAGCAAGCAGGCATTTTATGATTAAAAAAATTTTTTTGTTTTAGGTCTCTTCAAGTTGCTTCAAATAATCTCCCGATAGGAAAAGTGACATCATCTGCTCATTGCGTATGTGACATTTCAATGCCCATTTGAAAGCATGCATGTGTGGTAAGTTCTTTAGATCTTGAGGAATTTTGTTGTAAATTTTAACACCAATTGACGTTATTCTCTTTTTTCCATAGTTTGTTCTTGAAAGCGGTTTAATAAGCTCACCGATCTTCCTCGTTCTGCTGCTAGATGTGGTTCTTTCAAAAACGACATTGGAATGGATCCTATTAGCCAGATTATTGTAAATGAAAGTCGCTGAGTTGATGAAGCTGATTGCACGTACTGGAAGGCAATTCTGGACCAAGTGAGAATACATGTTCACTCTACTTTCGAGGAAGTCAACACCAAATACACTTCTCAAAGCTCGATTTTGAATTTTTTGGACGGGATTTAACACTTTTTGACAAGCTGTACCATAAATCATTGACATATAATTTAGATGAGATTCGAATAGTGTATGGTAGATGAGTTTCTTGGTTGATTGTGTCAATTTGTACTTGAGTTTCCATAAAATCCCTGATATTGAGGCTAGTTTTGATTCCAAAGCCTGACAGTGTTTATCCCACTTAAGATGTTGATCCATAAATAGTAGGGTTGGGCAAAATCGTAGTCGAATATATTCGACTATAAATAGTCGCATATTATAGTCGAATATATTCGACTATATAGTCGCATATGCATTTTTCAAAAAAAACCGTTAATTATCACGGTTTTAAATTCAAAGTTGGTTTAATTCTTTTAATTAATTATTTCGTCATTAATTTATTGATCAACTAATATTTATCGGCATAGCTATAAAAAAGTAAGTACTTCCATCACTTTTCCTTTGCATTTGTATCGATTAGTAATTTTTTTCAATGATTTTATTTAGATGGGAATATTTGATATCAAAAAATACTTGCGGTCACCAAATAAGGGAAGAGGAAAGTGCCGAAAATGCTCTAAGTCATGTCAATGGTCCAAGGAGAGAGTATAAATGCATATTAGGAATTGTGAGAAGTCGTCTGATGATGAAAAGTTGATGTTCCCAACTAAATTGCAAACAACTCTAAAAACTAATTCAAGCATCGAAAATCCACAACATTTAACACCTGAATTACCATCATGCTCTACGAATACGCTTAAAGAAGCTATAGCTAACTTCATATTCAAATCCGGTGTATCTTTTCGAGTTGTTGAGTTAGATTGCTTTAAAGAAATGTTTTTTGTTATTAATCCAGCTTTAGTTGAAGCCATTTAAAGGAAGTTATGCCAAAAGAAGCGTCAAAAGAAGTGATTAAATTGATTGAGCGTAATAGTTTTTGGGATAAACTGTGCAAATTGGCAACAATTCTTGAGTATCCATCAAATATTATAGGTATGCATATTACATGATTAAAATTCTAACATTAATCTTTAAAAATAATTTTAACAGGTAAACTCGAGAAGGACAATACAAGCTTAAATGCTGTCTACGATTACTTTGGCAAGCTTTATACACACTTTGAACAAGACAAGACTATTCAAAGACTCGTGAAGTATCGTTGGGATTATATTCTTACAGAATCTATGGGAGCTGCCTATATGTTGACTCCAAAATTCAGTGTCGATGGAGTTTATGTAGACCACGACAAGATCGATATCGTTGGTCACATCAAAAAGATTGTGGCTGTTGTTGATCCTATAAAAGCATCTGATGTTGATGGAGAATTTGCAATGTATGTCAATATGATTTCAAATCTACCAGCAGACAAGCAACAAATGATTTATCAAATGGACGCAAAGCCTTATTGGAAGGTTTTTGGCAAAAATGAATTTCCAGCACTATATATTTGTGCTAATCGTGTGTTTGATATGGTGGCATCGTCTGCTGCTTCGGAACGTGTTTGGTCTGCTTTTGGATTTATTCATTCAAATTCGCGTAATCGATTGATTACAACTCGAGTTGAAAAATTAACGTCAATTTATGTGAACAATGCCATTCTTAAGCAGCTAGATGCTATTAATAGCTTATTTTCTGATGAATTCTTATATGAAAATGATTTTGAATAGCTGCATTATTCATTATATTTAAATTAGCAAAAAAATAAATAACGTATTTTTTGATTTTTGAAAATCTCATATGCGACTATATAGTCGCATATATTCGACTATTTTTTTGTTCATAGTCGAATATATTCGAATATATTCGACTATTTTCCCAACCCTAATAAATAGTCCAAGATATTTAACACAATCAACTCTCTTAATACTTTTTCCATCTATGTCAATCATATCGCTGTCTTGAAACTTCATGAATGGTGAATGAAAGATTATGAATTGTGTCTTATCGAAGTTGAGAAATAGACGTTGATTCTCAAAGAAATTTAAAAGTTTCCTTAGGTCTGGGATGATTTTGTCTTCTACCTTGTCATTTTTTTCGTGACTATTGATGAGAACAGCATCGTCTGCATAAAGGAACAATTTGCCAGTAACATCCAATGAAGCAATGTGATTAAAAAATATTATAAATAGAAGACTTCCCAAAATTCCTCCTTGCACGACTCCATGATCGATAGATTTTTTACAGCTTGTTGCATTATTAATCTTGACAATTTGCTTCCTCGATTTTAAGTAGTTTCCAATCAGCTTAAGTGGATTTCCACGTATTCCAGAAAGATTAAGTGTGTGAATTAAGCATTCGATGTCGACAAGGTCGAATGCCTTTCTAATATCCATACACACTGCACTGACTTTTTTTTTCTTGTCAATTAAACTCATGATCTCTTCCACTAGTTCAAGCGCAGCAGTTTCAGTTCCACTCTTGGCTCTAAACCCAAATTGCTTTGGTGACATTATCTTTGCCTTATAAAACACAAAGTCATAAATTCTTCTGTACAGAGTCTTTTCCACAATTTTATTAAAAATTGAAAGCATTGCCACTGGTCGATAATCGTTAATAGATGTTTTGTTGCCAGACTTATTGATGGGAATCACTAGTGCCGTTTTAAAGCAATCAGGATACGTTGAGGTCTCATAAATTCGACGAATCATATGACATAGCAATGGAGCTAATTCCATTGAAAGACATTTGACTATTGATGGGTGTATTCCATCTATTCCTGCAGAAGAGTTCTTAAGTCCTCTAATAATATTAACAATTTCCTCACGGTCTACATCATCCAGAAACAGTTCTTGCATAACGGGTTTAAAATCAATTTTTTTGGAGCTTACATGTGATTGGTTTGCAATAGAGATGAGAGGCAAAAAAAAAAGTTGAAAAATCTATCGATGCCCTCATAAATTTCAATAAAATTTTTGATAAATATCATCATGTCGAAAAATAAATTCCATCCGAAAAAAAGCATTGGCATTTTTGGTTTGGGATCGACTGAAATACATACACAGCGAGAACTGTAGTATATATGGGCAATTTTTACGCAAATAAATTTCAATTTTAAGGGCATTCTCGAATGTTCCTTAAAACACTTACTAAACTCGTTGCCAACTACATTTTTGTCAAGGAAATTTATACAGCAAGTCAAAAAAATTTTTTTCAAAAATTTATGCTCATGAAAATCGTGCGGTCATGTGAAATGGATAAAAAATATATTTTCGCTCGTTGTTGACTGTCGATTTTTTTTTGTTTTTGTGACGCAATTTAAAGATTCCCTAAAAGCATTGTGTGTGATGTTGTGAAGGAAATCACGTCAGAATTACGTAAGAGAAACACGTGAGAGAGGAATTACGTAAGGATGAGAGAATCATGCAAGAGAGAAAGCAAGGAACAACAACATTACACAATTTGAGAGTCGATAAGCATGCGAAAGAGCAAAAAAATCACTGATTTGAGAGAAATCTCTCAAAATTCCCGAGAATCCAACATAAACACAGCATTTTACTCTCACAAGAACCATTAACTATCAATTCTACGTGTAGTAAGGTCAAGGTGAAGTAAAAACATTGTAAATCTTACGTAAAACGAGTAGCGTACGTGTCCTACGTTTCCCAACCTCTCATCGCACATAAAAAAAAATTATTATTAAGAAATGATTTCTTTTTGCTGTGGAATATTTCCTTATTTTTATGTCACCAGGGGGGTTGTTGTATGGAGACGTAATTGAAAGCACACTCGAATTGAATGAGATGTATATTTAGACACAAAAATAAACGAAAATGTAATGAATTCAAGTATCAAAGTGAAGAGGGAAATTAATAAGAATGGAAATTTTAATTACATCGTCCAAAAATTTAGGTTGGGAATAAATGATGTCTTGCAAATAAGTGAGGAGTGTAGGAGGTGTTAAGATTATATTTTGGGATTTAACCTTATTCATAATTAACTTAATTCTTGATTTGAATGTATAATCTGTTTTTGACAACTTGAATGTCTCTAAAAAGTTGGTTTAATTCTAAATTGAGCATACGTCACAACTAGGATTTGAACCTATACTCCTTAATTAATTCATATTCTTCAATTATTTCACAACTTGAAACACTGAAAGGCTAATTGTTTAAGTTTTAAATAACGGATCCAATTCTGAGTAGGACTCGAACCCAAGATCTTCTTTTGACATTTGTTGCTTCCACCACTAAGCTATTGAAGGTTGTACACAGATTTGACATAATATCATTTATAAAGTTGGTGTTAAAACTCTATTGACGTAACTTCCGAATGACTACCCAAAAGTATATATCAAAAAAGAATCTGAATTGGAAATTATTAATTAACGTAATTACAAGAAATTAATTTACGCCTCTCCAATGTAACGCATAATATGGTAGTAATAAAAAATACCTACTTACTCGACATAAAATGAATAAAAGTAGAAGTTAATTGAAGATCCATGTTGCTTTTTCCTTTCCTTTATTACCTTCTTCTCAATTCATTTTTTTTTTTGTCATGGCTGACAAAATTACTTTTTAATCAAGAACCTAATTAAGAGAAAGCGCAAAATTTGTCGCAGAAAATATATTTTTTTTTCTCATCTCCTTCTCTCCTTCCTGTATCTTCCCTTTTGTCATGGCCGCATGCTGTTGTTACGGAAAAATGCTTTACATAATTTCATTTTTATTTAAAGATGAGTACTTAATGCCTTATTTCTTTTTCGGGAGGGACTTTTCCTTTTCCTTCGTGCCTTATTTTTCTTGCCTCATTGCTTGGATAAAGGCCAAAATGCAATACGATCTTTAATCATCTAAAAGCTTGTAAGCTTGACTGAAGAGCACGAAAAAAAATGTTGGGGTCTTTGGAAGTTGCATTGTTTTATGTAAAAAACAAAAATTTGTAATTAGAATATTGCTTGTCAATTTTTGAGATTTAACTCTCAATTACGTTGATTAACATCTAGAATTTAAATTATTCCGTAGACGGATTTGGCAATTTATCGATTACTTAATTCAAAGTTCACTGATATTGTCTAATAAAACAAGGATCTTTTGGAGGGGACTGGATGATGAATTGGCATGCATGAGTAAGATGTCACATGGGCCATAAGAAATAGTAAGCGTGTTTCGAAATTTCCCCCACAGAAAAACCGCGCTAAAAGCACAAGTCAAGGCGTATAAAGAGAAAAACAATTGAAAATGGTTAAAGTATACATTATTATAAATCTAGACAAATCACGGGCACTTAAACAAAGAAAAGTGACAAGCTCATGAAAATTAATTTTCATTAATCCCTTCCCTCCGAGCATAAGCATTTTTTTCCTCCTTTTTTTGCTCATTCATTTCACTTCTTCGCTTATTCCTTGCTATTCTTCACTTTAATTCATGAAGCTCATAAAGCTGAATAATAAGAAAGCATGGATGAATAGAAGGAAGGTTAAAATGACGCGACGACGGAAGTTGAGCAAAAAAGGCAGCTTTAAAGCACACAATAATTCAAAAAAATATTTTGAAGACGTGAAAAGGAAACAAAAAGTGAAGACGTGAAGAAGAAGAAGACGAAAGTGATTTTATTTTTTCTTGTGCCTTCTTTTTCACTCACATTCCACCGACTGATTACAATTTATGGCGTGCAATTTAAAATGTCGTGAGATTATGAAGCTTGAGAAATGTGGCCTACAAGTGGATTATCGTTTTGGGTTCATTTCATTTTTAAACACTTATAAATGCGCAATCTATCTGATTTATTTCTTTACATTTTTCATTGAAACTACCGTCGTTGATAGCTTGCTACTTCTCCTTTTATGGGATTTATATTCATTATTTAGATTTTTTATTTGTGGATTGACTGACTGACATACTGATTATGGTGGCATATAGACAGTGATTTGAGATTCAATTATTGACATTTTAAGTCGACTCTATCTTTGATATGTAAGACGAAGAGCGTTTACTTAAGATGTCCATAGAGGATAAACCGCTCATATTTTAAAATTTCACAAACAATTTCTAAAGAATCGAACCATGATTGCACAATTAAAGTAAGAAATTGCTTAACTCACATTTCCACCACTTCCTATTTTTTGATGCAATTTATTAGACAATCTGTAGAATTTGAACCAAACAACGCTTCTCACATCCATATAACATAAAACAAACTTACTATATCCTTCTATTTCCTCTTCATTTCCTCCGCACATAAATTGTGATTTGATATCACGAAAAGAAGCGACTTAAATTGATCAGTCTTTAAATTTCATTACAACAATTTATAAGTTGATATCATTAAACGTCATGAAGGAATAAAAAGGCATAAAAAAACATTGATAGGAAAATGCCAAAACGCTCATGTCTCAAATGTAAACAAGAGAAAAAATAAACGGAAATAAATATTTGATCGACGCGATTAAAAGAGATATAGGTATGTGTGCTCATTCTGTCATTCCATATGTGTGTATTTTTATGTGTTCTTTAATGTAAACTGAAATCAATCAAAATAAGTTGGATATTTGAGGTTAGAGGTTCTGATTGAAGAAAAATCGATAATTATTGAGTTTTTGGATGGAAAACTGAGATCTTTTATAATTGGCGTATATCCAAAACTTAAATTATTAGCTCACTTTATTCTTATTGTAACTTCGCTAATCGTACAAGATAAATGAATGAGTTAATATAGCGTGAGTCGTAAAAATTGCATGGAATTAAGAATGCTGAAAAGATTTTAAAGACTTGGGTTCAAATCCCAAACATTAACATATTATTAATTTCTCGTTCAAAAATTTTTTTTTCTAGCTTAAGTGCCCAATTAATAGTTGTCAATGATCGTAATTGAATTTTGTATATTCAGCAAAATAAGGCAGTACTCTTATAAGCTGCAATATTTTTTTATCGTTCCGATTATGATTATCAAGTCACATAAAAATACATCCAAAGTTTTAAAAAATTTATATCACATCCTTAAACTTCAAAACACTCCCAAATTTTATTTAAAAACAAAAAAGTCATTAATTCTGCAGTGAATTTTCACTCGTAATTCTTATGCGACAATCACAAAGGTACGGGTCGTTAATACCTCTAACTGAAAAGCGAGAAAAAAAGTTTTTTTCCTCAAAAGGTAAGTTGGAAGCGAAGAAGAAGGAAAATTTTCCTTTCTGTACATATTTTTTTGTGCTGATGCATCAAAAGTTATAAAAAATTTATGTTCATTTAATTCATGACATAAAGCTTTCTTTCCTTTTTCCCGTAAAGATCGGCCATTAAATTTCTTTCTCAATTTATCGCTATTAACCTGCCCATTGCTATTCGATACTCTTGACATTATCAAGTTTTTGATTAAAAGAGAAAAAATGTCATTTATTCATTCAGCCATATCCAATGCCTCATACCTACAAAACATTTTTCTTTTATTTTATTTCATTTTATTCGACTGAAAAGAGCTTGAAAGAGCAATTACAATGGAATTTCGTAAAATGAACGCGTAAAGCGCTTCTTTGTGAGATGAGAAGAAAAATGTTGATACTGAGTGTAAAATTGAAGGCTGGTTGTTGCTTACAGGCTAATTAATGACGTCAATCTTTGAATTTGGACACTTTTTCTCAAAAAAATAACTTCAAGTAGGTAGAGAAGTCTTAGTGCACCATTCTGGATCAGTAAATATCAAAATCTACGAGGTTTTTAACAGAATCGACTCTTTTAAGGTTTGTTTCTAGCTTAAACTGAAAGGAGAGTCTACCAAATGATTTAATTGCTAG